TTTGATTTATTGATTTATTTTAAAAAGTATTATACTTCATGGAAATTAACATGACTTGACAGAAGAGCAATTTATAAGTTCAATTCAAACACAATTCCAAGGTTTCTCAAAAACACTTCAACTAAGTTTTTGTTATTTAGTCTGCTACATATGAGAAAGTAAACTGACAAACAGCCAGTGTATAAACAATCATTACACTGAAACTTAAAAATCCAGTTTTCCAATAATACCAGGCCTTTATCTTGTACCAAAACATCAGTCAAAATACATAGGAAGAACATTCCACTGAAATTAACAGAATACAAAATGAGAATAAACTAGCTACAAGGGAAGTATTAAATATAACACAGGACAATGCCAAGGCATTCTAAAACATAACATTTAAGATGAAAATGATGATAAAGTTTTTTATTTAGAGAATAACGAAAACTAAAAGACTTCCTTTTAAAAATAGTTTTAAATATTTCTATAAAACAGATTAATTTTAATGCCCTGGAAGTAGAGTAAGAACTTGAATACAATTCAATGTGTTTATCAGGAATATAAGGACAGAAAAATGAAGAGAACAAGAAAGTCTGATAATTAATTTAAGTATCTTTGTTTCAAATAACCAGCTACACACATAACAGGAACAGCAATCATAAGGTATCAGTTTTTGAAAAGGGGAAGAGTAACCACAGGCTACTGCCACCACCTGGCTCAGCTTGCCCCCTCCACCACCACGGAAAGCATTCTTCGTGTTCCATACGCGCAGGGACAATTCATTCTACACCCTTACCTCTTAGCTCTTTTATTTCCTTCTAATCATCTTCTCTACAATCTCAGCAACTAACTCCATGGGTCTACACCTAGCTAATAATTATCTTATTATTGAATTCTGACTTCTGTTTCTCTACCAGTTCCTTTATTTCCAGTGCAGTTACTCTAACACTGGAACCCAACAAGCATCCAACCTGCCCTCCCAATCCACTCACAGCACCACTTTCTCGCACCCACCCCCTACGGTCCTCACTGCCCTCCTGGACCACCCTAGACCCCTGCTCCCTCCCTACCACCCCTCATCCCTCTCTCTGAGGCACATCAGCCCAGCCAAACCCCAGTGCTAGTTCACTTCAACTACCAGCCTGTAAAGAAGCACACACACACACACAAAAAGAGACCACACAACCATGACACATAGTCTCACTTTAAATTGGTGAGGGTCCTCACTGCTCACCATCCCCCATTTTCCTAGTTGATAAACTTTCCCAGACAATTCTCTCACACCTTCTCTGGTTCAAACTTCTAACACATCTTGTTACTCCTTTCTTTCAAGTGAGGAACTGGCCTCTGAGTCACTGAAAAACAATCAGAAGGGAACTTCCACCAAATCCACCCACTCCTGTATCCATACCCTTTGCTTTCACTGCCATTTCAAGAGACGCTGCCTTTGCTCCTCAGACCAAGTCCTCCAACTGCACTATTGACCCATCTCCTTGCTCACTAAGGACTTTGTTCCTGCAGTTACCCATCTCTTGTATTGTCAGTGCCTCCCCCCTACATAGGAACATGTTGAAAGAGCTTCCCATCCTATTAAAAAAAAAAAAAAAAAAGCACATCAAAAAACCTTTCCTTGGCCCCACAGAGGTTCCCAAACAGCTATTGTTCCATTTCTCTGCTTCTCTTTATGTAGTTTTTGGGGTTTTGTTTTGTTTTTTGGGTTTTTTTGAGACAGAGTCTCACTCTGTTGCCCAGGTTGGAGTGGAGTGATGTGATCACAGCTCACTGTAACCTTGAACTCCTGAGCTCAAGCAATCCTCCTGCCTCAGCCTCCCAAGCAGCTAGGACTACAGGGGCACGCTACCATATCCAGCTAATTTTTTGCAGAGACGGGTTCTTGCTATTTTGCCCAGGCTGGTCTCAAACTCCTGGCCTCAAGGGATCCTCCTGTCTCTGTCATCTCTGCTTCCTTTTATAGTAAAACTCAAGTGAGTTGTCTAAATGCACTGTCTCCTCCCTCTTTCTCTCTTGAACCCATTCTACACAAGGATGTGCCATCACCATTCCCCCTACACAGCTTCTTTCAAGGACACCAAAGAACTCAACATGGCTGAACCCTAATTCTCCCAGTCTTCACCTTACTCAACTTGTAAGCTGCAGTATTTACAATTAATCTGCTTGGAATTCCTTCTTCACTCGACTTTCAGAACACACCTCTCCCCTGCACGTCTCCTTGCCCACTGGTTCTCCCTGACTGCACTGACATCTCCCTGTGCAGAGCCTCCAGGACGAGTCCTTACACTCCCCTTGCCTCCTCCATCTTGAAACTCTCTCTGATTTCATCTAGTCTCACGGCTCAAAACACCAGCTATATACTCCAGCCTGGAACCTCTCTCTTCAACTCTTGATTTGCGTTTCCAGTTGCCTACTTGGTAGCCCCACTTAAATGTCTAACAGCCACCTCACACCTAATATAGCCAAAAGTGAACTCCTGACTTCCTCCTCCAAGCCTGCTTCTCCTGTAGTCTTTTTTGCATTTCAGTTGACAGCAACCCCATTCTTCTGGTTACTCAGGCCATCAACAGCCATCCGTGACTATTCCCTTCCTCCAGATTCCATATCTAATCTTGGGTCTCCCCCACTTCTCACCACCTCCACTGCTACTGCCCAGGTTCAAGCCTGTCTGGATCTCTCCCTGGATGACTGCAGCAGCCCTCTCTCCAACTTCCTGATTTCACCTTTCCCCCTACAACTGCCAGAGTGATCCTTTTAAAGGTAACACAATCATGTCACTCATCTCTCAACCAACAGAGTACTTCCCCATTTTGCTCTGAGTAACAGTCTGAGTCTCCAGTGCATACAATATCCACATCATCTGGCTCCCCCATACCTCTCCACCTCCTGCGACGGATGATTTACTGTCCCACTCTCCCAGCTAGGGATTTAACCTTGTGAAGTGGGGAGTCTACTGTGTTTGCTGCTACACTCCCCCAGTCCTCTACATCATACCTCTACCCTGAGAACAATGCCTAGGATGTAAAGGTTTTCCTGAACAGCTCACATTTGGTAACTAGTAAAGGTTGCAAGACATTAAAGATACAGCACCAACGGATAGATCTGATCAGAAGCAGCAGCAGCATCAGATGGATGATGACAGAGCAAATATATCCTGCCACCTTAGGCACCCTGCTGATGATGCAATCGCCCCTCAATTAGTAACCTTTTATAGAGAATGACTGTTACAATGTGGGAAGATGTGTGTAAGATTATTCCTTCCGAACAATCTATGGAAAAAAAGGTCAACAAAGCACTGTTACTACAGGCCACTTGATAGGCTATGAGAAACAGAGGGAGCTATTCACAATGGTCTTTGCTATATTAAGACTGTATGTTTACAGTTCTAAAGTGCTTTAAGTACTATAAAGGGATGGGAAAAAGAAAGAAGCGGGGAAGGAAAGAAAAAGGAGAAGAAGAAAAAAACAAATTATTTAACTTGAGGAGGACAAAAAGCTGCTAAAATTCCAGGTCTCTTTTTCCTTCTTATCGTTCTTATGAAAACAATTAGAAAAGTCACTATTAGCCAGGCGTGGTGGCATGCACCTGTAGTCCCACCTACTCAGGAGGCTGAGGTGGGAGGACTGCCTTAAGTGACAGAGCAAGATCCTGTCTCTAAACAAACAACAACCAAAAAGTCTCTAATATATTTTTTAAAAAAAGACTTTTGCTATGATCTGAATGTTTGTGTTCCCCCCAAATTTATATGTTTAAACCTAACCACCAATGTCCTGGTGAGTCCCAGTCTCCCTGTGGCCAGAGCATGGACCCATGGTGTGGAAGCCTAACCAATGTCGTGGTGAGGAGGTGGGCCTTTGGGAGGAATGCGATTAGTGTGCTTATAGAAGAGGCTCCAGAGAGCTACCTTTCCCATTCCACCATGTGAGGACACAGCAAGAGGGCGGCATCTAGGAACCAGAAAGCAGGTCTTTCATCAGACAGTGGCACCTTGATGTGGGGCTTCCCAGACTCCAGAACTGTGAGAAACAAATTCCTGTTGTTTCTAAGCCAACCAGTTTATGGTACTTTGTTAACAGGAGGCTGAATGAACCAAGACAACCTTCTTGGAAAAAGTTACATACCCAGGAATGTTGAGGCTCACAATGGGGAAACTCAATTAGTACTACAGTGTCTACAGAGAACATGTAATGTCTCATGGTATGGTTCTTAATTAGCTTTAAATTCCAAACAGTATAATTAGGAGGGGAAAAAAAAAAAATCAAAGTGAAGAAGATTTTACCTTTCCAAACCAGCCATTTCCAATTTCCTGTATGTAGTTTAGACTATGGCGGGCAACTTGAGACTTCAAACCTTCTGTAGAGAAAAGAACATTAAAAATTACATATAAGTTTCTAACTAAAATAAATATTAAATACATAACCTATAAAGTACAAATACTAACAGAAATTTAACACTTGTGCTAATAAAGGTAGAAACAGACGCATAAAACATCTCTTTCAAACTAACAATGCCAAACCAATTTCAGGTTTTAAAACTGACCATATTTTTTTAATGAGTATGCTACCATGATCCTTTAATACCGTACTGTTTTGTTCTGGTCCAACTACTCTAACATAACCACCACTCACCATTCCAACAGCCTTTACTTAGTTCTTATTTTTATGATCTCTCTTCAACAGCTCACCTGGATACAGGATTAGCCCTTTTAAACTACTCTCCCTTAATGTTTTAGGGACAGCTTTACTGAAGTATAATTGATATATAATAAAATGCACATATTTAAAGTGTACAATTCGATACATTTTGGTTATGTATGTACCTGTAAATACCACCAAAATGAAACGTTGAACATCTCTATCACCCCCAAAAGTTTTCTCACACCCCTCAGTAATCCCTCCCTCCTGTCCCCACCTCTAAACAACCATTCATGTGCACTATAATTTGCATTTTCTGAAATTTTAGGCACCTGGAATCATACAGCATGTATTCTTTAATGATTTGGCTTATATTGATTATTTTAAGATTCAATCAAGTTTTGGGGTATATCAAGAGTCCCTTCTGTTTTATCACTGAAGAGTATTCCACTGAATGGATAATACCAGAGTTTGTTTATTCATCCACAGGTTGATGGGTATTTATGTTGTTTATAGGTTGGGGCTATCACCAATCAAGTTGCTATAAACATATGTTTATATGTCCATATCTTTGTATAGACATATGCTTTTATTTCTCTTGGATAAATAGCAAGGGGTGAAATGGCTAGATCATGTAGTAGGTGTATATTTAACTTTTTAAGAAGCTACCAACTGCTTCTTAAAACACGAGAGTTCCAGTTGCTCCAAATCTTTGCCATCACTTGGTATAGTCAATCTTTTCCATTTTAGCCATTGTAAAAAGTATACAACCTTATTTCAGTTTTAATTTTCAGTTCCCTAACGACTCATGATGTTCAGTACCTTTTCACTTGCTTATTTGCCATCTATATATCTTCTGAGGTGAACTATCTGTACAAATCTTTGCCTCATTTTTATTGGGTTGTTTTCTTACTGTTGAGTTTTGAAAGTTGCAAATATTTTCTCCCAGTCCATGGCTTGACTTTTCATTCTCTTAACAGTGTCTTTCAAAATGCTGTTGTTTTTAATTTTGATAAAGTCCAATTTATCAATAATTCCTTTTGTGAATGATGCTTTTGGTGTCATATCTAATAAATCTTTGCCTAACTAAAGATCACAAAGATTTTCTTCTATAAGTTTTATAATTTTAGGCTTTACATTTAGGCTTATGGTGCCTTTTGAGTTAATTTTCACATATAGTACAAGGTATGGATCAAAGTTCATCTGTTTGCCTATGAATATCTATTTGCTCCAGCACCATGTAATTGTACCTCTATCAAATGAATTGACCATAGGAGAGGTGACATCAGTGGAAATGGTGAAGTAAGGACCTCTGGGGGCTGTCCCTTCCTAGAAACACTAAAAATCATTTAAAAAACTATCAATATCAACCTTATCAGAACTCTGGAAGATAGTCAAAGGTTTACAGTAACCAAAGTGAACCAGGAGAAAGTTCACTGGAACAGGGTTGAAGTTGTGGTTTTCACTTACCCTAAGCCCACTCCCCCGACCCCAGTGCAGCAGCAGTCTGAGATGGCTTGTGTTCCCAGTGAGAGTACCAGTTTGAGAGGGAGCAAAGTGGGCCTTATTCCCAAATAACTGTGTTTGTTTTGACCTGACTGGGGTTTCCCTGAAGCAGTGGTCCGCAACCTTTTTGGCACCAGGGACAGGTTTCATGGAAGACAGTTTTTCCACATACTGGATGTGGGGTGGGGGAGATGGTTTCAGACAAATTCTCGTAAGGAGCATGCAACCTAGATCCCTCTCATGTATAGTTTAAAGGAGGGTTCACACTCCTATCACAATCTAATGCTGCTGCTGATCTGACAGGAGGCAGAGCTCAGGTGGTGATGTGAGCAATGGGGAATGGCTGTCAATACAGATGAAGCTTCACTAGCTCGCCCACTGCTCACCTCTTGCTGTGCAGCCTGTTTCCTAACAGGCCATGGACCAGTACCAGTCCACAGCCTGGAGGTTTGGGGCTGCAGCACTGAAGGACTGCCACAGTGGCTTCTCTTTGTTTCACCTAACTCAGAACTCTGTCAGGACAGAGTGGTCACATGTTCGTTGAAAATAACAAAAGTCAAATGAACAAGCTGCTGCTGCCTGGGGCAAAAAGTAACAGTTGAGGCAAATAATACACATGCTAAAAGCTTTGGCAGAAAAGCTGGGGAGTGAGATTTGGGGGGAGAAAAGGGACTTTGAAACACTACTATGTGTGCAGGGTACCTGGATAGCCATGTGCATGCTCAGGGAAGGATATGTGCTCAGAAAGACTTGAGAAGAACATAAGCTTTCACCTCTGGCTAGTCGTTTGGCTCAGCACACGAAGGAAGTGAAGATTAAGGCAGAGTTGTAAACAGCCTGGCTAAGTGATGAAGGAGTGTCCTAACACACAGAGCCAATCTGTAAAGGCCTAGAGAGTACTTTACTTTCTTTCTTTTCTACGACTTCTTTTTTGTACATATTATTCAAAATGTCCAGTTTTCAACAAAAAAATTATGAAGTATGCAAAGAAACAAGAAAGTATAGCCCATTCACAGGTAAAAAAGGAATGAACAGAAACCATTTCCGAGAAAACAAACATTAGGCTTATTAAACAAGACCCTAAGTCAACTCTCTTAAATATGTTCCAAGAGCTAAAGGAAAACATGGACAAAGAATTAAAGGAAACCAGGAGAATGATGCCCTACCAAATAGAGAAAATCAATAAAGAGATAGAAATTATAAAAAGAAATAAAATAGAATTCTGGAGCTGAAAAGTACAGTAAGTGAAATGAAAAATTCACTAGAGAGTTTCAAAAACAAACTTAAGCAGACAGGACAATCAGTGAACTTGAAGATAAGTCAAATGAAATTATTCAGTTTGAGAAGCAGAAAGGAAAAAGAATGAAGAAAAATGAAGAGAGCCTAAAGAAGTTGTGGGACACCATCAAATGAACCAACATACACACAATAGAAACTCCAGAAGGAGAAAAGAGAGAAAAAGAGACAGAAAAAATATTTGAAGACATAAAGGTAGAAAATGCTCCAAATCTGTCAAAAGACATGAATCTACACATCCAGAAAGCTCAAATATCTCTAAATAGGATAAACTCAAAGAGATCTATCCATACTCAGATACATTACAATCAAACTGTAGAAAACCAAAGATAGAGAATCTTGAAAGCAACACAAGAAAGAAACTCATCACATACAAGTGATCTTCAGTAAGATTAACAGCCAATTATTCATCAGAAACCATGGAGGCCAGAAGGCAGTGAGATATATATAAGGCACTGAAAGAAAATTTCTGTGAACCAGGAATTTTATATCTGGCAAAACTATCTTTCAAAAATGAAGGAGAAATCAAGATATTCTGAGATAAACAAATGTTTAGGGAATATACTGCCAGTATACCTGCCCTACAACAAATGTTAAAGGGAGAAATAAAAGGCACAGAAATAAAAGGACACTAAACAGTAACTTGAAGCCATTTGAAGAAATGAAGATCTCCAGTTAAGGTAACTACATAGGTAATATAAAAACCAATATTATTCTATTATTGGTATATAACTCCTCTTTTTATTTCCTATATGATTTAAAAGACAAACTCATAAAAAATTATAAATCTACATTAATGGGCACAAAATATATAAAGATGTAATATGTGACAACAACTTAAAGGGAAGGGACTGAACTATATAGGAGCAGAGTTTTTGCATGCCATTAAAGTTAAGCTGGTATCAATTCAAACTCAATTGTTATCAATTTAGGATGTTAACTGTAATCTTAATGGTAATCACTAAGAAAATATCTTAAGAATATAATCAAAAGAGAATGAGAAAGAATCAAAATGGTATGTCAAAAAAAAAATTCCTATCCAAATCCCAATGGCCTATTTTGCGAAATAGAGCTGCTGATCCTCAAATTCACATGAAATTGTAAGGGATCCCAAATAGCCAAAAGAATCTTGAAAAAGAAAAAGAAGACTCACACATCTTGATTTCGAAACTTACTACATAACAGAAGCTACAGTAATCTAAACAGTGTGGTACTAGCATAAGGATAGACATATAAATCAATGGAATACAACTGAAAGTCCAGGAAAAAAATCAAACAAATATAGTGAACTGATTTTCAAAAATAGTGCCAAGACAATTCAATGGGGAAAAAGAACAGTCTCTTCAAACATTGTCACTGAGACAACTGGATAAGCACATGTTAAAGAATTAAGGTGGACCCTTAACTCACACCATATTAAAAATTCAACTCAAAATGGGTCAAAGAGCTAAACTTAAGACTTAAAATTATAAAACTCATAGAAGAAAACACAGAGGCAAATCTTTATGATTTTGGATTTGGCAATAGTTTCTTAAATATGACACTAAAAGAACAAGCAACAAAAGAACAGATAAACTGGACTTCATCAAAATTAAAAAGTTATGTTTCAAAGAACACTATTAAGGGAGTAAAAGAGAGCATACAGAATGCAAAAAATAGTTGTAATTCATGTTATTATAAAGCTATTATAATTAAGAGAGTGGTGCTGTGAAAAGAAAGAGACAAATTAACTAATGAAAGAACAGAAAGCTGAAAACAGCCCCCGCTCACACAGAAGCAGAGAGAAAAGGAAAGATCAATGAATGAATGAAGCTGAAAAAATATAGCAATTTACAAAGGAAAACAACTTGAATTTCCTTCTAACACCATACTCAAAAATCAACTCAGGCCGGGCACGGTGGCTCACGCCTGTAATCCTAGCACTCTGGGAGGCCGAGGCGGGTGGATCGTTTGAGCTCAGGAGTTCGAGACCAGCCTGAGCAAGAGCGAGACCCCGTCTCTACCAAAAATAGAAAGAAATTAATTGGACAGCTAAAGATATATATAGAAAAAATTAGCAGGGCATGGTGGCACATGCCTGTAGTCCCAGCTACTTGGGAGGCTAAGGCAGGAGGATTGCTTGAGCCCAGGAGTTTGAGGGTGCTGCGAGCTAGGCTGACGCCACGGCACTCTAGCCCGGGCAACAGAGTGAGACTCTGTCTCAGAAAAAAAAAAAAAATCAACTCAAAGTGAGTTACAGATTTAAATGTTAAAGCAAAACCTTAAAACATTAAAAAAAAAAAAAAGAGGTTATTTTGATCATAGAATGAAGAAGGATTTCTTAAGACAAAAATGTTTTAACTCTTTAAAAAAGACTTAAATTTCAAACTCTAAGACTGTTAAGTTGGCTATCTTAAAATTAGGAATTCTGTGCATCAAAAACATCCTTTTCTGTATACGTGTGATTGATTTTTTTTTCATGTATCATTTTGATTCCCTCTTCATTTCCTTTTCTGTATATTTTTTAGCGGTTACCATGGGGATTACAGTTAATGTCCTAAACTTATAACCACCTAGTTTGAATTGATATCAATTTAGCTTCAAAAGCAATAGCATATACCATTTAACACCCAACTGGTAGGAACATAAATTGGCACACCTGCTCTGGAGAATAAGCTGGTAATAAACATCAAAATTATAAACACATATAATCTTTGAACCACTTTTAAAAATTTATTCTGCCCTAAACATAGCCCACAGTGCATGTAGGACCACAAAAGGCAGTTCTAGCACGTACAGATTCAAACAGCCTTCTTGTAGCAGTCTTAGAAAACCCTATTTCTTGAACCACGAGTAACATTCTATTTTGAACAAGAAATCAATACCTAATCAAACCTATCTTAAAAGAAGCTTATGAAAAGTAAATCTGATTAACATATCCAAATATACTCCTCCCTCCCCAAATGCAGGATATCCCAGTAGAAGACAGCACTCTGCTACTCAGCAAGACATGCAGTGTCCAGAACTAGTAAAGAAATCACATCCCAAAATAGAGCCCGGGAGCTCTGTCCAAGTGCTCAATTTCAGTGAATCAAGACGACCAGTTTTATTCTTTTTTTTTTTTTTTGAGACAGAGTCTCACTCTGTTGCCCTGGCTAGAGTGAGTGCCATGGCATTAGCCTAGCTCACAGCAACCTCAAACTCCTGGGCTCAAGCGATCCTACTGCCTCAGCCTCCCAAGTAGCTGGGACTACAGGCATGTGCCACCATGCCCAGCTAATTTTTTCTATATATTTTTAGTTTTCCAGATAATTTCTTTCTATTTTTTTAGTAGAGACGGGGTCTCGCTCTTGCTCAGGCTGGTCTCGAACTCCTGTGCTCAGAACGATCCGCTCGCCTCAGCCTCCCAGAGTGCTAGGATTACAGGCGTGAGCCACCGCGCCCGGCCCCAGTTTTATTCTTATACCAGACCCACAGTCCAGAAAGGAAAAGACTCAGCTTTTGCAGGAATACAATGGGCCTGACGACTTAGAATCCAGCTTCACCAGAAGAAGGAAGAGAAACAAGCAAAGGAGGGGATGGACAGGCCAATATTCTATGGTAGCAAGGCTGCCATTCTCACTTCTCAGAACAATTCACGGAAATATGACATTAGCATGGAAGGTCTTACCTACAGAAGGCTGGAATTGTGATGGAGCTGGTAGTGAAATATTTGGTACTGAAAGTGTGAAGACCTCTGCTGGAGATTGGACAGAGGGAGTATCTTCTGCTGGTGGTGTGAAATCTATCTCATCATCAAAATTATCTTCAAATTCCTAAATTAAAAGAGAGTAAGTATTAAAAACCACTGGCTAACACTTAAGATAGGGACACATGGATTCACTCATTTGGAACTTGCCATAATTTTTTTATTCCAATTTGTACTTATTTCAAGAAAAAAGCATACATATGTTTTGTTCTCCAACTCCAAACAGCACAATAAATAAGATTTGAAAATAAATTATACACATTTTATGTAACTTTTAAAGCTGAAGTGCAAAATTTTCTAAAATGACCATGGAACTTAATGAGGAAATAATCTTCTAAGATGAAAAGTTTACTTTAAATTACTACAGTTTAAGCAATTCTTAAAATTATTCAGTTTCACAAATCTCTTTGCATATTCAATCAAAACAAAGTGATTTCATTTTTAAATTGTGTATGTATTTCCAATTGCCATGTGATTTCTACCAAAATAAAGACAGTTAAAAGACTCAAAAGATATTTTTAAGACAGCTCTATTTCTCTGGAAAGAGTAACAGTGAAAACATTACCAAACTGGGTAGAAAAATCTTTAGGGTCTGAACCACAGAGGTCAGTGGTAAAACCAGGTAGCAAGTAAGTGGAATTAACATACAAGAATGTCTGGTTTTCTAAAGCTGACAACTGTAAAAGTGAGGATGCATCAATAAGGCTGTGGAAACCTTTTAAATGACTGTGCAGCAGAAAGCTATTCCAACTCTTCCTTTCATCACTCTAGTGAGTTGGGTGTACCTTGATGTCCATGTTAATTTACCACAGATACAGCCAATTATCAAGTCATTCATTCAGATAATTAACAAGTATTACCCCTCCAGGCACCATAACAGAAGCTGCGAACAGATCAGTGAACAACACCGATTTCCATTCCTCTATGAATATCCTTCCTTTCATTTTCCTTTTCTACTACCTTCCCTTAGCCCCCACCCAAAACAAGGAAGAAACTGAAAGTTATGAAAGTAGATTTCTCTAACATTTATGTTTACACATGCATGTGAGAAGACATTATTCTCATATATGTTCTCGAATGCATTAAAGGACATTATGGCTATTTGTATCAAGGGGGCAGGGAGCAGGAAAAATAAGGTACTGTAACTTTACTTCTGAGCTGAAAAAATCCTTTGATTTTCCTTTTTGGACATTCCTAAAGGTTCTCTCATTTAAAAAGACTCTGTCTATCACTCCTACCTTAAAAACAATGTACTCAAAACTTGGCAGCAGCATGACATACCATTAGGTATACCAGCAGATGATTTTAAAGATTCAGACAGGTAATAGAGTATAATAATATGAAAAATAAGATAAGACTGGGTCACTTTTAAAGTTATGCCAGCAGGTATCTGGATGAACTTGGGCAAGCTGCTTACTTTACCAGACTGTAGCTTTCTGGTCTATAAAATGACATCCAAAGAACCATCAACTCTGAAATTGCATAGCTCTAAGTCTAAAAGAAAACCAACAAATCACAAATGATAATACTCTTATTTAGTCACATAGATTCTAGAGCCTGAAAGGGTCCTGTAACACACCGTGTCCCCTGTATCAGAATCACCTGCATCAGAATCACCTGGGGAAGCCTGACAACAACACAGATTCCTGTGCCCTGCCTTGAATCTGCATCATAATAAACTCCCTTATTTGATACTGAGATTCAAAAGCATTAGAACAATCTAAGGCAAGAATGAGGTATCATGAAATGTGAGCTAGAGACTGGATTTCAGTATAAACAACACTGATCAGACTTTATCTTTGTCCCGAAATGGCCAGGTTTCTGTGCAAAGTCCCTCAGCAAGATCGACAGTCAGGGGACACAGCCAGTCTACCTACAACTGTGACCACATAGTGCAGTCATTAAGTTCCCGCAGAAGTACCTGTATGGATTCTAAGGCCTAGGGGCTGATGCTGTGAATAAAGCCCTACAGGTTTCAGGCAAAATCTTCTAAAGAAATGACGTATGTTAGTGAGTCTTTTCCTACTGTCTTCCTCTGTCCTCAGCCTTCTGTGTGCTGAGCTGTGAGAACAGCCCATCTCTTATCTCCTCAGAGCTGCCACCACACTCAAGGTAAAGAGAACACACTATAAACACAAGTATGAGGCTCTAGAAATCAGGTCCCCATGTCCAGTGAAGAGTAGGTTTTAGCTAGGAGACAACTTTCTTTTTTTCCCCGATTTGAACCAGTGGCCCTCAGGACTCCTGGGCCAGCTCTAGTTACAGGACCATTTTCTCTGCATGCATGCATTCCTTCTTTTTTTTCCCCCCCATGTATTCCTTCATAACAAGTAATTACTGAGCCCTAATACATGCCAACAGCCAAGCAGCAAGTTCTAGCATGGGGTTTCCCGGCTGGTATACTGGTAGATTCCACTCACAGCTGCTACACCTCCAGCCCTTCTCTCCTATCCCCAGGCCAGGGTTTTACAATAGGCAGCATTCTTCTCCCCTACAGGGAAGTGGAGGTTTCCATACTCTTCCTCATACACAAAACACATTGGGAGATCCTTTTGTCTCAGTAATATTAACGACCACAAATTTGCCAGCCTACAAAAGTTTGGAAAAAAAATAAAACAACAGAAAACCAGCCTGCTCTTTCTCATAGGTCCATGGCAAGTGAATTCAATCACCGTGCTTTATTCCTTGCTTAGCAAAAACTTAAACTCACCACAGACAAGCAGTTATTGTCAATGATGTCCTACGGCAGGGTCAGCAAACTACAGCCGTGGGCTGAAACCAAACTGCCTACTTTTGTAAATAAAGTTTTATTGGCACAAAACCATGACCATTTGCTAACACAGTACCTATCACTGATGTAGCCTTACAATGGCAGAGTTGAGAGTTGAGCTGCTGTGACAGAGACTGTCTGGCCCACAGTCTGTACTATTCGCTGTGGCAGAAACCATTTACTATCTGGCCCTTACTGGAAAAGTCTGCTGACCCTGCTCCCAAGGGACTGTAATATGCAGCCATTCTGTTGATGAACACATTAGAAGATGATTTTAAATGTTCCTACCATCTGTGCTCACCTTAAAGTCTATCTCTGGGTCCTTACAGCAGGATACACAGTTTGCAATTAACACAATTAATATCACGAAACTGCACACAGATAGGATCACAAAAGATGAGGAAACTTCTGCAGCAGGTGCCTCCCCTGGAAAGAGAGACAATAATATTAAAAACATGTACACTCCAAATTCAACTTTAATTAGTGAACCAATATATTTTCCTCTGGATACAAATGGGACCAAGTGTTACTAAAACAACACTCCAGATAAAGCTGATGACCAATCCAGGGTAAGTTGTTGAGGTTTTTTTTTTTAACTTTTTATTTTAAAATAATCTAAGATTTACAGAAGAGTTGCAAAGCCAATACAGAGAGTTCCCATATACCTTCACGCAGCTTCCACTAATGTTAACAACTTACAAATACCATGGTACATTTGTCAAAACTAGGACAATAACATGGGCACAATACTATTACCTGAACTTCAGACTTGTTTGGATTTTACTATTTTCTCCACTGAAGTCCTTTTCCTTTTCCAGGATTCAACCCAGACTACCAACGCTGCATTTAATCACCATGTCTCCTCCCATCTCTGTCCGTTTCTCAGTCTTTCCTTGTGTTTCACAACTTTGACAGTTATTCTGTGGTATGTCCCTCAATCTGGGTTGACTGAGGTCTTCTCAGGACTAGACCAAGGTTATAAGCATTTGGGAAGAACCCAGAATACCACCAGGGTAAACTGTACTCCTCCTTGCATCACATCAGGGAACGTGACTTATTCCTGGTGACCTTTGATCACACAGTCCAGGTGGCTCTGGCCAGGCCTCACCATTGCAAAGTTGCCACCTTCCTGTCACATGTTCTCTTCCTCAAGAGCAAGGCACAAAGTCCGTGCACACCCACAGGGAAGGGAAGTAAGCTGTACTTCCTGGGGGAAGGAGTACGAAAGAGTTTGTAGAGACATGCTAAAAACACCACAACAATTAATACATATTTGGGGGGAGATACTCTGAGGCTACACAAATGCCCCGTTTCTCCTTAAAGTTTTACACACCCATTTTTGCATTTGACAGTGCGTCTTGTCTACAACAATTAATACTGCGATGTTTTAATGGTGATTTTCTATTTCTCTTTTTCCCTATATTCATTATTTAGAATTCTTCTGTAAGGAAGATTTGTCCCTTCTCCTCCACGCTTATTTTATTCTGGTCATTTATATAGTTACGGACTCACGGATATTTATCTGGGTTATAATCCAATACCATCATAATTTATTTTGTGGCTCAAATGGCTCCAGCTTTGTCCACTGGGAGCTCTTTCAAGTTGACTAGTGGATCCTTTTGACATACCCTATCCATTTCCTTGTTCTCCAACACTTCCTTACTGTCTGGCACTACAGGAAGCTCCAAGTTCCTCTTACATTTTCCCTACCCTGACTCTAGAATCAGCCATTTCTCCAGGGAGCCCTGGTCATGAAAAGAGTTTTTCTAACAGGGGGAGGGAGTATCTGCAAACCACAGCCTGTGGCCTGCTGTTGCATAGAGGGACTCTCACCGCCCCCCCCCCAGCTAAGAATGCTTTGCTTTTCCCATCCCTATATAGAGCATAAAGATTTTTACATCTAGTTTTTAGCATGGACTTAATTATCCAGAAAACATCTTATTTTGAATATTTTCTTTGTTACAGCAAACTGTTAAGTCTCAGCTACTGGTGTTTTACTAAGAAATAAACTTTTCCTTAAAATCCTCACCTATGGCTAAGTGTTCAAATGCACCAAAGGGAAGGCAGAGACACAAGTTAACAATGCCACCATTTTTTTTTAAGTGAAACTATAGTACTTGAAGAAAAGAAAAACTCATCCAAGCTCCTATGTGAGCAAAACACATTCTTGAACTTTATTCTAAAATAAACTTCAGTGAAGATCAGAGAAGTCTAAAATGAACTGCAAACAGTACTAAGTTCTTTTTCAATAACAAAAAGTCCCTTTGTGAAAGCAATGATGAAACACCATTGTTACAAGTGGGGATGTTCTGGTCAAAGCCTTCCTTAAGTCTGTGCTACAGAACAAAATAGTTGTTGTCAAGAATCTGCAAGGTCTAAACAGTCAAAGTCCAAAGTAGACCTCCAAGCATTTAACACAGGAGGTAACTTGGTGCTTCTTCTCAAAACCAATCTGGAGGAAGTCAACGTTCTCTGGGAACAAGATATTCCCTAACAGCACACATGCGGCACTGGCATACATTTGGAAAACTAAACTGAGGAGCCTGAGGCACTGAGAGCCAATTTTCTGTGAATAAAGACCAAGAGAGATCACCTTCTTCTCTTCCTCCTTGCAGCTAGCCGTTCTCTCACCCAGTTTGGCCTTTGCTTCCACACTGGTATTTATTTATTCTTAATAACTTTGCCTCACTCCCCTGACTCATGCAATAAAAATTAAATATGACTCCTGAGGATTACATAGCAAAGCACTTTCACACACACTGTATTATATTGATTTTTAAGACACAGTTTGTCCATAACATCTCGGAATTTCAGGTGCATCTCACACTTGAAATCAAGCTAGTTTAATTGGCAGCATTTCTCCTTTTTAATGGTTCAAATATTAGGGTGTGACTTATAATTAATCTTATCTGAGATTTGATAAAATACGGTGTTAATTCACTTGATCATCCTAACTTGTCTGCACCACATCACAGATGAAGAAGATATGCCCATGAACCCACAGTGGGAAAGTGGCACGCCCACTTCAGGGGTTCAGGGGTTCTGAGTGCAAGCCCCCACTCTTTCCTTGAAACCACAATGTTCTGCCTCAACACGGTTAACTTTCAACACTTAAAAACAGCCTAGTGTACTTTGAACCCAAGTCTATCATTGTTCATTAAGGAAGCTCATACTTCTAGGACTCTCCAAACTCCACAAAGCTGATATAAAATTACTTTTTCCTCTCCTTCACCCATAGTTTTTTAATCATCACACACTAGCCATTTGTTGTAAAATTGGATCAGGACGACCTGAAGGCCAGCCCCATTATCTGATTCATGAAACTGTCCGTGGAGTCATTAGGTGGGCGTGGAAAGCAACACCCATGTTAGAAACGACACGTTGTGCCAAGCTATGCCTTACCTTTATACCACGCTTATTCCTATTACAAGACTGTAGTGGGCACCTGCTCTTTCTACGCAGATTTTCTCAATGTCTAACAGGCCCATTAAAAGGCCTCCACAAATTACTGCCTGAGAAATTTACTAGGTAGCCTCAAGTAGGCATTTTTATAGTTATCACTTTTAAAAACTTTATTTATTGTCATTTTCTTTTCATCAGTCCAAAGCACTATGCTTTAAATATACAAATGAAGGAAAAACTCCCATAAAATGAGGAAATCAAACCATAGGCTGGAAGATGAGATAGATGGGTTTGCACAAACCACAAAGAGGAAGTAAATTCTAGACGTGAGGAACCACAACTAAAATCCCCACACCTCAGTGGTCAAACTAGAAACCAAGCCCCAAGAAGGTTCCTGTTTACAACTGTTCAACTGTTAGAACACGATGAAGAAAAGCAGTTTTCCTTTAACATTCTCAGTCTACAGCATTGAGAAAGGAATAAATCAAACCAATCATCTGCCAAAGAAAAACATCAAAAACAACAGGAGTGTGGCCATATTTAGGCAGCTTTACCAACTACAAACCAAGAACAAGGGCAATTAGGGGCTTGGGGTACTTGGAATGCCTCCCCAAGACACTGACTAAAAACTACGTGGTATCTCTACAGCGCATTCTGTGAGTTTTCATTTTATAGTTTTCAAAGCATTTTAATAGCTATGTAGCACTTGATTTAATAAGCAGAAAGGTTGAGAAAGGCTAAGAGGTAGGTACATATTATCTGTTTTAGAGACAGGTAATTTGGAGAATGTAATTTCTCAGCAATGACTCAGAGTAAGTCAGGAGTACTACCTGACTATTAATTCAACCATTATAACTCCAGCCCGATTATCTGATTCATGATCCCTATAACCTCAAGTGGAACTTGAACCATATGTAATTAACTAAACAGGTACCTATGAATCCATTTTTGGATTAAATAAAAATTTGTAAAGGCCCACAGATAAGAGACGATGATCAACGTCTAGATTCATTAGGGATTACAAAATGCTGACATTCTAATTGTCATTCCTTCTTCACTTACTAGCTAATAGACTTTTATAAAGAGAAATTTCCTCACATAAACTATTTGATGACCCAGTGGGGTTCAAGTCATAAAGTAAAGGTAGGCTAGATACTTAAATCTTTCTCTTTCAGTTTTTTAAAAAATGGCTTGGTTTGTTCACTAGCATTCTCTGGCAGTCACCAGTTAGGATAGCTGCTGTTCTGTGGTATCACTGTGAACTAATGGATTGAGACTACCTGGTGTGGTTCTATCCGTTGTGGTTATTCTTACTGACACTCACATTGTCCCACATTTGGCCAGCAAGACCTTCGAAGAGGTTTGCTCCCCCAGCCCTCCAACAGAGCCCAGAAGTCTTGGATGTCATTCTTGTTTCCTGGTGTGTTCCACGCTCTTTTTTTTTTTTTTTTTTTCCTGCTTCAGACCTCATGTCAATTATTTCCCCAAGAGTCTTGGTTTTTTTCAAAGTGAACTACTCATTTAAAGACCCCAGTTTCAGGGAGTAGAGCCGCTTATTCACTGCTGGTGTTACAACCACTTTAGAAAACAATCTGGCACTGTTTTGTAACACGTTGGTATCACTGTGATCTAAGCAGTTTCCTCGTTAGGTAGATGCCCCAGCATAGGGATCAGGAAACTATGGCCTATGGGTGAAATTCTGCCCATGGTTTGTTTTTGTATGGCCTGAAAGCTAGGAATAGCTAAGAATTTACATTTTTAAACAGCTGTTTTAAAAAACCCCAAAAGAACAATGTTTCATGACACACAAAATTTATAGCTATAGCTAATAATGCAAAAAGACATTATGTGTCCACCGATAGAAAAACACATCACCACCTATGAAATAATACTGCCCAAAACAAACACAAAATATAAAATCTGAATCTAACCAAGCCTCTCAAATACCAAGGTACAGAAACACCGAGAATAGCAGAACATGTGAAATACCACCACAAGAACGTAATCAGCAAAATACAGGCTAT